TAAATTTTTGATAATATTTTTCTCAGAGTAATTAATAAAATATCAATTTGGAAGATGAGGAAAACGAAGAAATTTCGTATTATTTATTTGTGATCAATTGTAAATTGTTAATTAGTCGTAGTTTAAAACAAAAAGAAAGAAAAAATTTACTGATAAAAAATTGATAACAATAAATTGATACAAAATAATTATTTTTGTTTATAATTTAAAGCTAAAATGGATCGATCGAAATGGAATAAATTACCTGTAATGAATTAATTTTATTTTTAAATTAAACAATTAACAAATATGGAGTATAAATTTACTTCTGATACTCCTTATGATAGTATTTTCAATAAAAATTATAACTAAATCTATCTGAATTATCATTTTTATATATCCCATGCTGAATTATCTTTTTTTAAAGATCTTTTTAAATCTATCAATTCTGATTAATCGATATCTATCAACTCTATTAATTCTGATAAATTTTAAAGAACTTTTTAAATCTATCAATTTTGATAAAATTAAATTATTGTAATTGTAATATTTTATACTATTATATATATACAATAATATAATTAGCAAACTATTAAGAAAATTATACAAAAAAATTAGAAACAAAAGAGATATCCTTTTTTTTGCATTTAATATATTCAATGATAATTAATGATAATATGAAATTGTTTTAAAATTTTATCAAATTATTAAAATTAAATTAATATATTAATGAAGCTTATTAATAATTAAATGACGACGCACTATACTTCATATTTCAGGCTTATTTTTGTATAAATTACTTCTGCAGCTAATAATATTTCAAATTTTGACACAATTTCTTTTCTCTTCTTTTTAATAAAGCACCTTTCATTAATAATATTAATTACAGTATTCAGAAATGCTTAATAATCATTGTTTTTTTCTTCCATTTAAATTACCATTCTCTAGTAAGTTTTTAGAATGGATAACAAAAATCAGGGTTACAACATCAAATTTCCCTGATATCCGAGGATTTACTTCTTGGTATGAAAGGTATTATTACAGGTACCGAATCTAAGCAAAACATTGAGAGCAAATATTCCGAAACAATCTCATCAATTTATTTCTAATGATGTACATAAATCATATGTACATGGTATACAGCCAAGTTTTGATCATAAACGTCAACAGAAGATTTCCGAAAAATCATTGCATACGAAATATTCCCATTTCCATCATAAGTCACCATTATCACCTGAAATTAACTCATCAATGTATTCATATCAGCAATCACGTCAAACAATTGGACCACAATATCAACTTTTACCACCTTCACGTGCTGAATATCGACCACCACCAGGACAACTTTATCCAAAGTATCATTTGTCATCATTATCACCGTTGTCGAACGATCGATTAAGTAATCTTCAACAACGAGATTATCACGAATCATCCCAGAAATTGCATTCAATATCGGAATCTCATGAAAAACTTCAACATCATGTACGACGACAAGATGAAAATCGATTGCCAGTAAATTGGGAACACACAACAACAGAATCTCAAATAAAATCTCATTATCGTCCGGAATATAGGCCTGTTTCGAGAGATCAATTAGAGGAGCACGGCTTAACCGCACAACATAACCCAGAATATCAGAATCCCACAGTTAGACCGGATTCCGAATCTATTGCAATGACCACTGCTGCAACATCATTTAACCGACAACGATTCAAACAATCGACAATTTCACCACCGTATGAGGTGACCTATTCAAATAAACCAGACGATTTTGGATCATTGCAACAATTTTTTTTTACAAATATTTAGTAAAAAAAGATTAGAATTTTTTTATAATGGAACGAAATATATTATGCAAATGATATATTTATTATCTCAAAAAAGCATATAATGTTAAAAGATAGTAATTATCGATTGATCAGTAATTGGGTGGATTAATAAGAATTGGATAAACTTCTGCTTTTGAATTCTTTTCTTTAGCGCTAAATTCGATTGTTTACAAAATGATTGATTTTTGGAACGATGAGGATTTGTCCTTATCCTTATCCATTCTGATGTTCCAAATTCATCATCAATAAAGCTTCCCACAGATTGCTTCGTGCAAATCTACTAGAAATGCTTGCTTTCATGCATGCATGCATTTTGCATTTCACATGCTGTCAATATCTTTGCACAGCATTTTCTTTTTCTTTTTGCACATTTTATTAGCAAAATTTCTTGCCAGCTTTTATTATGCAATTAATTTATTCGCACAATTTATTCGTCGTTTTTTGCACAAATACTGCAACATATTAAAGCCTGATAATTTGCACTTTTTTAATTTTGAAATTTTTATCAAAATTTGATGGAAATTTTATTTTATCAAAAAGAATTTATCAGGCAAATAAAAAGTGATGAAAAACAAAGATTGCTATTTGTTACATAATGAAAAAATTTTGTTACAAATTAAGCATGATGCTCATCATCGTTCACGATATCCGGATCGTGAAGGAATACGTTATCGAGAACGACCAGAGCCAAATCGAGCGCATTCCGGTTTGTCACCGCATAGTCTTCATGCTAAAGATCTTGTTGTAAGTTTTTTTCGCTATCTTTATTCTTTTGAATCAATTTTTTGCATTATTTATGTTAAATATTGGAATTTGAAATTAATTAATTTATATTGCTAAAATGTAATTAGAAAGGATGTTATTAATTACTTTGTTTTTAGCTTCATCTCATAGCATTAAATACGCCAATGAATGGTAATATGCGTGGCGTACGTGGTGCTGATTTAGCATGCTATCAGCAAGCTCGACAAGCTAGCTTCCGTACCACTTTTCGGGCATTCCTTTCATCACATGTTCAGGTGCAATTAGCATTTCATATTATTGAAAATTTGAAATTAATATTTGAAACAAAGTTAAATTTACTAGCAATAATTTTTCATGATCAATTAGAAATAGTATACTTTTGTTTTTTTGTTAATTAAGCCAATTAGCGTTATCATCGATCTTTTACAGCCATTTCAATTGATAAACTCTAGTTTTTCCTTTTTTATTATTTAACGCTAATTAAAATTTTAAAACAAACAGTAATTAAAACCAGATGTTTATTGTTCTCTCTGTCTTCTCTCCAATCAGACATAGTGTTTTTCAAAATTTTAACTTCAGACTTAATATCTAAGAATTTTCAAATTCGAACTGAAAATTTGAAAACTCAAAATCGAATTACATCTGAGCTTTTAGCATAACTTTTTTTGTTTATAAATTAAACGAATCCTAAATGATGATATATATATATATATAAGCTAAGTGAGAAATTATTTTTCTCAGGATGTAAATAAAGTGGTATATAGCGGTGATCGAGATACACCGATAGTTAATCTCCGCGGTGAGCGATTATTCGATTCCTGGGGTGATATATTCCAGCAACGACATATGGCTGATGTTCCCATTTACTCATTCAATCGTCGAAATGTTTTCGTTGATTCAACTTGGTTTATTATTCAATAATTTTCCTTTAATTCTTTTTTATTGATAACATTTGAATAGGAAATACCGGAATTAAGTAATGAAAAACGGAAGAATTCCTGATAAATCATATAACAAAGATCCAATTCCTGATAATCGTATTCATATTTGGAAGTTTATGTCTCAGAATAACTTTGATTATATCCGGAAGAATAACTGTTTCAAATTAATTATTCAAAAAAAAAATCATTTTAAGGCCTGAAAAACGTGTATGGCATGGTTCGGATTTATTTGGTATGCGTGGTGATTCTGGTTACTGTAGTGAATGGGGATCAGCAGCATCATCTGAAGTAGGACGATCATCAATTATCGGGCGTGGTTTACCGTTATTACGTGATAGCGGTGATTCCAATTGTTCACGTGAATTAATAGTACTTTGCATTGAGGTTACTTTTCTTTATAAATTTTCATCACCTTTTTTTAAAAACGAGACATAAAATTTGTTGATGAAAAAATGCATTAAAAAATTGAATATAAATGAATGAATTGACATTAGTTAGTGTCTTAGGTTTAAGTCTTAGATTTAGTCTTAACGGTAAAAGGCCTGAGCTGTTACATGGCCTAAAGGGTCTGTGCTGTTACATGGCCTAAAAGGCCTGTGTTGTTACATTGTCACAATTTGTTCATTCATTATTGATTAAAATTAAGAAACTCTTAATATAACTTAAAATAATTTGTTCATTTGTTTTTTAAGCTAGAAAATGAAATTATCATACTCTGATTTAATTTAATCTTTATCATTATCATTATCTTTTTCATGTTAACCTTAACTAATCAATTTTTTAAGCTATTTAAAATTTTAAATTTATATTATATTAATTTGATAATTGCTTCTGAATTTTTATAAATGATAATTTTAATTAAATATTAAACTTATCACTCATTTTTTTTAAATGCTAAATTTATCACACATTTCAGAATATGAGCAAATACAATGTAGAAAGACGATTGGGTAAGAAGAGAGCATATTTTGATGATTAAAAAATAAAATGATAAGAATGGATTTCAACGAAACAACTGATAATAGTATTTCCTTCTTTTATCCGATAATAATACATAAAACAATACTTAATTTATTTTAAACTGATTCATTCAAATTTTAAAATTACTGCATATGAACAGTTGCATCGCATATTTGAATAATTTAAATTTAAATTTGTACCGCTTTTTTTTAATTTACATAATTTTCTCACTGCGCTTAATTATAATTACTGCCATTTTTGCCGCATATTGTTTTTTCCTTTCCTTTCTTTATCACAGCTTTACAATTTTAATTATTTTTTACATATTCATTTCATGCAATAATGAAGTAAATATACGACTTAATTTGAATATAACTTAATATATTACTTAATTTAAAAATACGATATGACTTAATTTGAATATAACTTAATATATTACTTAATTCAAAAATAATATTTACTTAATTTGAATATAATTTAATATGTTACTTAATTTAAAAATACTATATGACTTAATTTGAATATAACTTAATATGTTACTTAATTTAAATATAATATATGACTTAATTTGAGTATAACTTAATATTAATTCGAAAGCAATGCATTACTTAATTAGATAAATTCGGAATTAAATTTTTCTCGAAATTTCAATACATTATTGAAAAAATTTTTAAATTAAAAATTTCAAAGCATGTAAATTTTGTTTATTTCATTTTTTTATAAAATCAATACAAAATTGAAATTTTATCTTTTCTGAAAGATATTCCATCTGTTGTACATTTCTTTGTTTTAAGCCTATCATAAAATTAAATTTTTCTCTAAGTATGAGAAACATTTGATAGTAATCGAAATTTAAAAACTGTCAACAATTATTCTCTTTTTCTCTTCTTCCTGTACTTATAATCATTTATTGAAATACTCTCACTACTTTGTATCTTTTTTCTTTTTGAATTATAATAAATAAAAGTACTATTGTTAATATTAATGATAACGATAGTTTTGATTATGATAATGCTATCATTTTTTAATTCCAAAGATTTATACCATTTACTTCATTTATTCACATTCGAAAATTATTATTGTTTCTTTTTCATTATCTATTATTATTATTCATCATTATTATCATTATTATCATCATCATTATTATCATTATTAGTTATTAATTTTATTATTATAATTTTAATCTTGCTTTGCTTGTGCTATTGCAATAAATTGTCAATTTACGCTATGCTAATTTTTCTACTTAAATTTGATTTTTCTTTTGTTTAAACTAATTAAAGATGATAAATATAAAAACGGTGAATATTCACTTGAAAGATTGAAAAGCATGATTAATTAATTATACTTACTTTACCGGAAAAGATACGGGTTGTATTCCGGTACGATATATGGCATATATGACAAAAGATCATTAAAAATGTTTCGATAAGATGATACCTTTTATCAATATGCAGATCACAAAAGGTCATTAAAAATGTTTCGATAAGACGATACTTTTTATCAATATGCAGATCACAAAAGGTCATTAAAAATGTTTTGATAAGACGTTATCTTTTATCAATTCATTAAATTTAACATACTGCAGATAGCGTTGTAATTGTAAATTAATTAAATTAAATTAATAAGTAAATTACAACAAATGCTGCAAAATAATTTCGCCGTGCCAAACTGTTTTTAATGTATTTTTCGAAAAGCTTTATTTAATAAAAACTTAAGAATTATAAACTAATTTAAATTTAATTTTTAACAAACAAAAGAATTTGCTAAATAATTAAATTTAAATTAGTTCTTTGTTTTAAAAAAACTTCAGACTGAAAAACACCAAAAAGTTCCGATATTTGTTACTTTAAAGTTAATATTTCTCATTTCTTTTCCCTTACTTCAAAAAATTTCTATAATTTCAAAAATTATATTTTAGAATATCGGAACTCATTGCTTTTTAATATTGAATGTTAAAAATTTAAAATTTCAGGTTTCCAATTTAAAATCTAAATTCTTAAATTAAACATTCAATTCTGAAATTTTAAACTTTAACCTAATTTAACAACTTTTCCATATAGTTTTTTATGTAACTTTTATTTTCATGCTAAAGGTTAAGTTAAATTTAAGCTCTAATTATTTTAATCGTAGTTAAAAGTTTTAATTCCAATCTTGAAATAACTCTGCAAGTACCACATTTATTGAATTCCAAATATTATTATATTATACTATCAATTCAGTATAATTTATGATTTCATCATTGATAGCATTTCAGGTTTGTTCTCTCTCTTTTTTTATAAACATCCATTCCATTAGTGAAAAAATAAAATTTTCTTTCTCTTTTCCATCTCACTTAATTTATTTCGCTTTTGAATTAATCACTGAATTGTATTCCTAAAATGTGATGTGAAAAATAAAAGGGAAATTTCGAATTATACTATCGCCATTTTTTACTATCCATTAAAATGAAAATTACAAAATGCATTAAATGATGAATCATTGTTGATTTTTAAATGAAAAACAACCTGAAATATAAATGATAACATGTAATTTGTTTACGATGATGATTGATGTTTTATCAGATGGATAAATATTTAATTTGCATCATGTATATAATATGTAGACTATATAGGAAAGAGAACATACATAACCTATAGCAGGTAATAATACTAACTTATATCAAAGAATAAGCAGCTATTGCCTGATGATATAACATGTAATCTGTGCTGGTGATAATATAATTATTATCATCGTTATTGTAACTGTTGTTTAATGTTTATGAAATCATTTATAATGTGCATTGATTGAATTTTTTTAGTTTTGTTATTTGAAGAATATGCAAAATTTCTTTTTTTCTGTTCTCACCTTTATCCGAGGAATATCAAAGAAGAATTTATTGATGTACGAAAAGAAAGAGACAAAGAAATAGATAATGCAGAAATTTTGTAGGGCTAAAATAAATAAATAGCCTAGAAATAAAGAGAGTAAAGCTTTTTAATTTGTATTTATTGAAAAGAAGGGAAGTATATACTAGAAAATAAAAAAGTCAATTTATAATAATCAGATAAAAAGAAAGTTCCTCCTTTATTTGTTAGTAAAAAGAATTTTACATAAAAATGATAAGATTTCTTTTTCCCTTTTTTTTCTTTTCCAATTAAAATCATTTTCTAATTTTAGAAAGTTTTCAAAATAAAAGAAAAAAGAAAATGTATTACGGTAATTCAGAAAATTCGCAAAAAAGTTTTCAATTTAAATAAAATTTTAAATTAAACAAAAAAATAAAATTGCATTATATTAATAAATGAAAAAAAGAAAATCAAAATTTATGCTTTGTTAGTTAAAATGAATATTACTGTATTACAGTAATCCTTTTTTTGTATTATTTGTTATCATTATTATAATTTTCTTTCTTTTATTTTTCGCTCCTTTTAATATCCCGAAAGTTCTTGGAAAGTTTGATCCAATTCCTCGGAAATATTTTTGTAACGTTCCTTCTCGTGCACCAATTCATCTATAAGTAAATTGTAATATTTAAAGCTTTGCTTTTAATTCTTTATTTTCAATTTTTAAAATGAAAGGTGATAAAATATTTTAGGTGAAAATTTTGTGATGAAAAAATATTTGATAGGTAAAAAGAAAAACATGCGGCAGCGGAAGGGAAAAAAAGTGACAAATTTTAGGGATGTTTTTCATTACAATAATTTAATTCATAACTTTCAACATTCATATTTTATATATATATATCATCCATTTCAAATTAGGTAATAATTAGAAGTTAAATTTTTATAAAAATTTAATTTTGTTAGCTAATCCTAAAATTGTGAACGATAACTTAATTAATTAAAAAAATTACGAATTGTTTTATATGAACGATAATCTAATTGTTTTATATGAACGATAACTTAATTAAATCACTCAAATTCTATATCGATTATTTTAAAATATGTAATCAGAATGAAATCATTCCATTTAAATTCATTTAAGCCTAGAACAAATATTCAACATTAGTTTATTTTAAAAAAATAAAATTAGTCAAGAAAGTTTTATTAGAACGAAAAATTACCCGATACTTTAACTCGGATATCATATCATATAGAATTTTCATCATTATCAACGAATAACATCCATAATCAGGTTAACATGATATGGAAAACGGAATAAAAAAAACGGAAACATTTATTAGTATTATCATTAAAAGAAAATGGAAAAAGGTAAAACAGAAATGTTTATTAGTATCAAATAATCAAATCACACGGTAAGATATAACAAACATATCAGTAGTATATTATCACTTGTTACATATCATAAATAAAAGTTTAAATTCTTTTCTGTTTATCTTTTGGAATTTGGAACTTGTAATATATGTAAAAAGAATAGTATATTATACTATTATGAAAATTAATTTCAAAATTTCTATCCATTTAAATAAAATAATGAAGGAAAAAAAGAAGAGAAAGAGAGAGAGGAAGGGAGAAAGAGAAAAAAACGAATTCCCTTTATAATTTCATTTCATATTTCCCATTATTAAATTTATGAAAAATTACTGTTTCAAAAAATATTCTGCTACAATTTCAAATTCTAAACCATAATTTTAAATTTCTAAAATAAAAAAACAATTTTGTAATTTAATTCAAATAATAAAATGCAATAAATTCAGCAATAAATATGTGATGGAAACAGAAAATTTAGAAAGCAAATTTTTTTAATTTACAAATTTAAATTTCCCAAAAAAAAAAAAACAATCCGATCCATTCCTAAATTTTAGTAGAATTAATCAAAATGGATAAGTTGTAAAAATGCTAGAGGCTAAAAAAAAACCTTTTGTTCGAATTGTATATTTAAATTAAATTTAATTTGCTCATAAAATTTAAATCGCTCACTCTCTCTTTTTAGGATAATGAACGAGAGAATATTCAAGAGAGAGAGAGAAAATCATCAAATGAATATATTTCATTTCAATCTTCCAATATTCATTCATTCATTCCATTCGCCATAGAATTAATGAATGAATGATCTTGCCAAATGTAAAATTTATAGCATATTCTTCCAGAAAAAATGGATCGTTCATTTTTGATATAAATACTTAATACTAAAATATAGGATAGGACAGGATATTGGGAATTGAAATATAATCGTAATTTAAAAATTTCTTTTTTGGATAATTTCAAAAGAAATAAAAAAGAAGTAGGAATGTTTCTCAAAATTTAAGTTATATTACTTTTACATATATTATAAGAAAGAAAAGTAAACAAACAAACAAACAAACCAAACAAACAAACAAACCAAACAAACAAACAAACAAACAAACAAACAAACAAAACAAACACACATATAAAATCAAATTAAAAGCATTAAGTAAATGAGATAAATATCATAAAAATTTTACAATATTTCCATACAAAAATTAAATGTGTTAATTTTTTGTTAAAATTTCATAGAAATTTTTTAAACAAAAGAAAGTGATGAATTAAAAGGAAATTCAATTTATTACAATTAAAACAGTTTTATAATGAAATGGAAAAAGCGAGTAGAAGAAGAAGATGGAAGAAATGAAATAAGGCTTTTCGTTGTAGCGATGATAACCGGATTATAAATTCAGAAAAGCAATTTAGAATACGGTAAAAAGCATTTGCATATCTTAAAAATTGCACAAAACAAAAAAATTGATGAGCATTTAAAATTTAAATTAAATTAGTTTGAAATAAAATTTGAAATATATGAGAGAAAAGGAAGAAGAAAAGAAATTAAAATTATCGGTAGGAGAGTAAGGGGAGTATTTCGAATTTATGGAAGAGAAAGAAAACTTTTACGTTAATAAGGATTAATTATTAGTTAATTAATTAAAACAACAATTAAAAATTGGTAAGAAATCATTTTTGGAATTAAAGTTCATTTTTCTTTTCATTCCTTGCATACTTTAATTTTCCCATTACTTATAACATTTGTGAAATTTATTCTAATTTATTTTGACCAAAAGAAAATTTCATTTCCCATTTTCTTCTCTTTCCGTTAAATAAAATAAAATTTAAAAATGGAATATATTTGTGACCTAAATCGGCTGGAAAAAAAGCTATCCGGAATTTCATGATATATATGAAATATTCAGGAAATTTAGGAAAAAGAAAAATTAACAAATTTTAAATACTCCAATATAAAGTTCCAAATTCCGTAACAATGAATAAATAAATAAAATGATTGAAATTAAAGAAGAAAGAAAAGTTGTTAGAAAAGTTTTCCAACAATCAAACAGTATTCAGTTCGCTTAACAGACGATCAAGCTCCTCTTGTAGTTGTTTCACTTTATTGTCCGAATGTTCCTTGGCTTCTGAAAAATGAGTAGCACACTGATTAATTAATTAATTTAACACTCTGATTTAAAGAAAATAGGATTTTAAAAAAAAAGAAAAAGAAACCAGAAAATTGATTAAAATTTTTTGGTAATACACACACTGCAAGAATAAATTTAAATTCTATTAGAATCCCTCTTTGCATCATTTCCAATTGTTTCGATGATAAATGCATTTTAGGAAATTAACGTCAAAAATCTGTCAGCAAAAAAAACGTACAATATTTATTCCAATTGATGATGATTAATAAAAATACAAAAAAAAACAATAATTTGTAAGTAATTGTAAAATTGGCATTATTGTCGAAATTTTTAGGTTTTTTTAGCAATTAATATTATTTTGTTAATATTTTTCAAATGGGAGAGTTTAGCTTAAAATTGAAAACAAATTAATTTTAATTATTTGCAGCAAAATTAAAATTCAAACGTAAGCGATTCAAATGTCACGTAAGCGATCCAAAATAAACCATTCCAATCAAAGAAATATTAAAAGAACAAAAATATGGTCGTTATGAAGGAAAAAGTAATGCAAACATTTATCAAAATTAAAGTTTGTTTAGTAACTGAAATGAAAGTTTACTAACTCAAAAAGAAAATGATATGATATTTCAGTAGAATAAAATGAATGCAGCAAACAAAAATTTTTATGATACAAAAATTTTGAAAAATTTCTTTTTTAAATTAATCAAGCAAATCATGAATATGAATAAATCGAAGAAATAAATGTATCAAATTTTAGATGATAAATTCTCACGTACGATAGTGTCCATATTTTTTTTAAATGATAAATTATTAATTACTAAGTGGATGAACCATTTTAAAAATATAATTAATCCAAAAATTTCTTAAGTGCCTTTTTTCTAAAAATATAATATATTATAATATAATAATTATAATATAATATAATATAATTAATCCAAAAATTTCTCAAGTGCCTTTTCTTTATCATCTATCAACTTGAAGTTAAATGTTGCTAATTTATTAATAATTTGAATTAATTTAATGATGAAAATTCCTCTTAAAATTTTTTGCTGCACTCAACATTTCTACCCTATATCAATAAACACCACGTAAGAAACAGAAACATCACGGAGAACACGCAAGTATACACATGCACACACGTTTAGAAAAAAAATTGACGAACAAAACGATAAACAAAAGTTAAATACGGTAGACGAATAGACGAATAATTCAGGAGGTTTGAATCTCCTGGACGGTTTGCTCGATCTCTTCCGTTAAATTACGTACACGTTCCTTCTCGATTAATAACTCATCTGTAGTTCTCAATAATTTACATTTTGGTACATAACATCACTTAACAATAACATCAACAAATAAGGACAAAACAAAAAAGTATGTCAGATTTAACTTATCTTAAAATTTATTATCATTCTTTTTGTCTTTGAGAATTAATAAATTTAATTAATTTAAAATTAACATTTAATTAACTTAAGATTCTGAATTTATAATATATATTGATTAATCCAAATAGATAACGAACGCTCAAAAAATTTTTCAAGATAATTAAAACAAAAGTTTAATCATTTCTTTTAGTCTAAATTAGCGTTCCTGCAAATCAAATCAATAATCATTCCTCCGTTTTCAGTCTTTCCTAATTATCGCATTTAATTTTGCAACTCTCTTAATATTCAAATCTATAACAACAGAATGGGATAGTATATATTTCAATCAATAATTCAAATTATTTGAAAAAATCCAGCTGCTAATTTAACTATTATAGATTCAAATCTTTTCGAGCAAAAGAAGAAAGAAATTAAACCCAAACAATCAGTTAAATTAAATTATAAAAATTCATAAAAACTTTAAAAACAAACCTTCAAGTCTGTCAACTTCCTTTTGCAATTTCTGCACTGATCGTTCAGCAAATTCCGCTCGAGTTTCTGCCTGAAATAATAAATTAATTAATTAAATAATAATTTCCCGTATATTCCAAAAGCAAGAAATACATGCATTGCATGCAAAAAAGTGATAACTGAAAAATACCAACCACATTTAAACTTTAATGCTTTAAGCATAAAATTACAACGAAATACTTTCACAACAATGATAACAACACTGACAAACCTTATTAAAAAGATTTTACCTATAAATTCAATATATATATATTTTTTTTCCGCTAATATTAAAATAATCATTTCATACCATCAATCAATCATACCTCCTTTAAACGTGCTGAAACTGTACGAATTTGTTCCTCGTACGAATCTTCACGCTGTAGAGCTTTCTCTTCAGATACTTCCAGAGATTTCAAATTATTGCCAACAACACGAAGCTCTTCTTCCAATTCCACAATTTTGCTGCACAATTAACAAAAAAGAAATATGCAAAATAGGAAAAGGCAAAGAAATAAACTGGCATAGAGGAGAAAAAGTAAAAAAGTGAAAAATTAAATTATTAAATCGAAAATGACTTCTAAAATTTAATGAATATTATAATTTAAGAAAATGTTGAATAAGAAAAAATTATACTAAATTATATGTATCATTTTAATGAATAACTTAATTCTTATTAATTGAGCATTTCCTCATAGCAACACAACAACAGTTAACATTCACCAATACTACTACACACTCACAATTCAGCAAATATCTAACTTTTCGCAAAACAATATCAACTTTTTACAAACACAACACAACAAAGCAATATCGACTTTTTACAACATACAACAAAACAATATCAAACTTTTCCCGCAAGCACAATAAATACCATCAATCATTTGCTACCGATGAGATCAGCAGCATATTTTTCCATATTTTTCTTTCTTACTAATTATTTTTTACTTCTTACTTTTCTCCTTTACTTATTATAATTTACTTGTTTACTTATATGTCACTAAGCATATGATGATGCTACTTTTAAAAATTATAAACCTCTTACGCATTTTAATAAATTAATCCTCAATTCACCGCTCCTTGTCCTTATTGATTTTTTGCTAAGTATATTCTTTATACTACCTTTAATTATATTAATTAGCTTATTTACTCTATAACACAGCAAATCACACGCCATTTCCTCAATTTACATATTATTTTCAATTAAAAAAAAATCAATCAGAAAAACGATTGTAGCTCCCAATAATGATAATAATAATGGTAACAGAAATAATAATTAATAAAAATTAATAATAATTAATAATAATAATCTCTGACACTACGATTAGCACTTAATTTATTAATAATAGTATAAATGATAGTGAAGGAAAATTTTACGATCAAATTTAAGATCGTAAAATTTTGCTTTACTATCATTTCATCAACTTCGAATCATGTTGAATATTATAGTGACTCAAGGTATTCACTATAATATTCAAATTTTTCATTAAAAAAAAATTCAGCTATAAATCTTCATCCTTTTTCCACACTAATCTAACTTATACCAAATCCTAAACGATTATATTCGTTTAAAAAATTATTTTCTATCGTTAATTTATCAAAAATCACATAAATAGTAATTTTGGCAATAGTCATTTTACTAATAATATTTATTTGCTATTAAAATTGATAATGATAAATAAAAAAATTAATTGATATTTTTATTTCGAACGATTTATTAATCATCAATTGAAAAATTATCAACTATTTACCTGACTTAACCTAACTAAACTTAATCTATTTCTTAAAATCTACCATATTATATATATACCGCTGACCCCAATATTTTCACCATTTTCACCTCTTTAATCCGATCCTGTAAGCATTGTATATGATCGGAGAAAGAATTTTCACGTTGAAGAGCACGTTCCTCATGAACTTCCAATGTTTTCAAATTCATTCCTACAGCAACCAATTCCCGTTCCATTTCACGTGCTTTTCTGTTATTTCATTCAAATCAACATATTATTCCAAGAGAAAAGTTTTTCAAAAATAATCATCCTAATGTATACAATAAACACATAATCAATAACTTATAATTTGAAATTGAATTTTCATTCAAGATTATCACGCATTCATGTTTTTCAGAATAAAATCCATATTCATTCTATATCAAAAATTGATAACATATGGAATTATTCCTACTCAAATATAATCTTTGATTTCTCTCAAATATGATCATTCCAAAAATGAATTTCAATATTAATTAATTCCTAATTAACTGCATCACTCTCAAGATGTTAAGATTATGATGGAGTCATAAACAAAAAAATCATAATAATAGTAGTGATTTCTAATTTTTATTATTTGAGAATATTTGTAAACATACTAAAATTTCTTACCATCCTTATAGAGAAAGAGGGAAAAAAAACCTTCCACAACCTTCCACACTATTTACTCTACCTTTCATACGAATTTTACTCTACCTTTCATACGAATTTTACTCTACCTTTCATACGAATTTCACCCTACCTTTCATATGAATTTTACCCTGCCTTTCATACTATCGATATATATAACTACCAAAATAACTTATCCTCTCAGTCAGTTTCCTAAATATCACTTAAGTTAGGAGAAATTTAGAAAGGATATTTAAAACATTAAAATTTATCGCACCTTGCTTAATTAACACTTACATCTAAGAAATAAAATGAAACAAAAAAGACAATCGTAGACGTGGACATAACAATAATACCTCAAATTCATATATTTCAAATTAAAATTTAGCAATAATAATTTAACCTTTTTTTAAATTAAAAAAAAGAAAACAACTACTTCCCGAATTTCATTAAATTTTTCAATTTGATGGAAATTTTATCGAAAACTAACTTTTCACCGGCTTCAGCACGTTCTTCAGCTCGTTCCAAATCAGCTTCAACCATAGCTAATTTACGAGCTACCTGGAAATAAAAGCTGATGAAATTGAAAGGTAACTGAAATATTTAAGTAGAATGAATGGATTAATTAATAGTTACTTTTTCACAGCAAAAATGAAAATAATTTTTGGTAAGTGAAAAAAACAATACATTAGAATAATGAAATTTCACAAAACGACATGATTGATATTATAGGTAAAAAGAAGAGAGGGAATGGAACAGGCTATTTTAGTATATTTTAAACAATCATAATTATCCGATCAGTAGGAATGGTACAACGGTATTACCGGATAAAATTATGTATAACTAATTTAAAATAAGCTATCTAGCTAACCGGTCCAATTTTAGTCCCATAAAATAATTCATTACAGGCTTTCAATAGGACAAAACAATTTGAGTTTCTTTTTAACCTTCCTCTATATCTTCTTTTAACCTTTTAACCGTTCTAAACTATTAACTAACCTCTTCCATATCATATAATCTTACAGTTTCAACGAAAGATAAGGCATTCAAAGTCAGATACACACCAAAAAACACATAAATAAAAATTTGTAATTTAAAAAAAAGATGAATGTAATAAGAATTCCTGGATATATCAAAAGTTTCGAGATAAACATTTCAAAAATAAACAAACAAACAAACAAACAAACAAATCAATAAGGAAGGATTAGTAATAAAAAAATAATATTCGAAATTAACAACAAAATCGTCACATAACGAAAACATCATTAATGTTTTTCAACAAACTTTAGAATAAGAAAATTAATGCAATTCATCGAAATAAATTTTGTAAATATTAAAACATAATTTTGTGGACTAAAATGAAATAAACCAATAATAGAAATTGAATTGTTGGCTTATTTCATTTTCAATTTTTCTAAATTAAATTGCAAATTTAAGGATCAATAAATTAAGCAATTTAATTTTGAAATTTTAATTATTAGTAAACAAATCTCACACACATTAATAATTTATAATATAACTTCAAAATTGTTAGTGAAAAAAAAACTATTTCATTTTATCCATTCAATTAATAAATTCAAGTATGGAAATGCCTATCAGATGATAGCCATATCAAAATTATCAGTACGAGATTTTTTTAGCAATGATATGATAAATTTCAGGTAAAGTGAATGAAAAGAAAATTTTGCAAATAAATGAATGATGAAAAGAAAACAAAAAAATTGATAAAAATTCATGCACGCAATCTTTTAATGTAAAACATAAAAATTAAAGCATTCCATTGTTTCAATTATTTATTTTAGTTAACACTAATTATATGAAGAATGAATGAATGGACAACAAAAATCTACGTGAATTAGTAATAACATTACATATTTCATCCTTTTCTCTCTATTCTTTTCTCTTTCTCTCTCTCTCTCTCTCTCTCTCTCTATTTCACTCTTTCAGAGTACACTTTGTCACCTCATCGTATTTGCGATCAGCTTCTTCGGCTAATAATTGCGCTTCCTTCAATTGCGATTCCACAGTGTTCGCACGTTCTTCATCTTGGAATGAACGATTTTCCATAACTTTGCGAACACTAAATCCCCAATATAATACAATTATTTAATTACATTAATTATTATTACCTTTGTTTTTGCTAATTTCCATTTAATTACTAAGTTTCCTTTTCGTAAAAGAAAAAAAATTAAATTATTTCTTTTGAATTTTTGTTTACAAATAAATGAACAACTTATCAAAAATTATTTAATTTTTCAAATTTCTACTTCTACCTGTAATTTCCAAATATACCAAAATTCTACTTAATATATTCATTACTAAATTTTCTAATTATATATTTCGATAATCTTCCTTTGATGGAATTAACTATTATTATCGTTAATTATATAGATATGAAATGAAAGAAAAACCAACCGCCAGAAGCCTTCATCATCTTATCTATGCTGTACAAAATGATAGAGAAATTTTAATTTTAAAATTTCTCTATCATTTAAAAATAAAGGTGATAGAAAAAAAGATTTAAAAAGAATGACAGAAAGAAATAGAAGAATTTTCGAAGAAAAAGAAGAAAAGGAAAAAAAGTGGTACTTAAATTCCATGGTACTAATTTAAATTTGTTTAAAAAGAAAGAGAAAGTTAAGAACAAATAAAAATAGTAATAAAAAGATTAGAAGATAAAAACATAATATATATTTATGCATACATTAAAGAAATAGAAATCATTGAAAAGGAAAATTGAGAAAAATAAATGAATGAATAATTTCAAAGTTAATTGACTGACTGTAAACAATTTTCTATTGCATACATGTGATTTTATAAAATGCAAGAGTAAAATTTCGATGTAAAATATTACTATTAACTTCTCTATATTCTCTCTCTTATCTTCACCAATTCTATCTCATTGTTTTTCTTCAATTTCAAAATTAAACAACTGTAAGAATTTCAAGTTACAAAAGAAGTGACTAATTTCTCAAATAATAGTAGTATAATCTATCACTTATCAATGATACTTATCAATTAATCAATTTTGTTCTTGTACTTGTTAATTAATTTTATTCTTGATTAATTTAAAATATGAACAATTCAAATAACTAACTTCTAGTGAAATTTTGATCTTGCAAAGAAAAACATTCAATTAATTTTCAATACAAATTAATTAAAAAAAAAACAAAAAGCAAATAAGTTGGCAAGTATGCAAAATTAATATTGAAGAAAATTGTTAGCATTATATATATAAATAATAAGAAAGTGGTAAGTAACACAGCACAACCTCATCTGATTTATTTTCCGTTTCAACCAGTAATGTTTGAGCTTCACGTAATTTTTGTTCCAACTCACCGCATCGATCGTGATCTACGTCGATACGATTTTCCAATGCTTTACGTGCGCTGAATTGATAAGAAAAAACAGAACATATATATTGACATTTTCATTCGGTTAATTATATATATTAATTTAAAAATTTATAATTAGAATTAAAATATATTTAAAATATAGAAATACCATTATTAATACTATTATAGTTAACAAAATTATAGTTAACAATTATAGTTAACAAAAAAATTGATTTTCCTTTTTCTCTTTTTTATTCGTAAATTGTGATCAAATATATTTAAAATATAGAAATGAAATTATCATTATTTTTTTTTATCATGAACAAAAATACTCAGTAAAATTGTAATTAATGATTATCAATTAGAATGTTATCATTCTGTTCCCTTTCACCATTCACTGATAATGTTTACATAATTTGTAAGCATATTATTAAAATTGCTTAATTAATAAATTTCAATTTTCCAGTGAGATTTATGTGTAAATAAATTTCTCTAACTACTTAAATAGCAATCTTTAAATATTATTCATCATGGATGAAGTACAAAAATATTTTCTACAGTACTACTATAAGATTTGATATCTTTTAAATTATCAAATTGTATGAAAAATTATTGTATTCTCCTAAGTTTACCGTAGAAGAGAAATTATCAAGTAATACTATTAACTATTAAATAACTCCAATTGTTTTAAATAATTTATGAATTAATTTTAGATAATAGAAGTGAAAAAGCATGCAACATGCAATACATATATATGTATATTCAAGCATGCATAAAGAAAAACAATTAAACGATGAATTAAATCACATGCACTGTTGAAGTTGATAATTGATATTTGACAAGCTATAGTGATAAATTATTATTTAACAAGCTATAGTGATGACTTGATAAGCTATGATGATAAATAGTGATAATAATAAAAAAAAGAACGCAAACATAAGACACAAATGATATACTAATTCAATTTAATCACATAAACATAACAAATGCACGTAACACAAATAATTAAAATTAAAAAAAATCACGTAAATATATATTTTAGAAATTTCGAAAATCTATCATTTACATTCCTCAAAAAAAAAACATGTTGAAAAATTGTCGTAAATTCAACATAAATTCGCCTAAATCATCCAAATTTATCATCCATAAAAAGAAATGTAAAATTTTTTTCCCCAAAAAAATATTTTTAAAATAAAACAAAATAATATGTGTATTATATATATATATATATATTATGATATGATAACCTCTTCATATTTTCGATCTGCTTCATCAGCAATTATTTTTGCTTCATCAACTTGTATTTCCAAAACATTTGCTCGTTCCTCATCCTGTTGTGATCGTGTTTCCATTGATTTACGAGCACTATGATTTTAAAAAAAATGAAAAGAACGATTCAACTAATATACACACAAACACATATAAAAGACAGGACATATAACATACGATACATATATAATATATATGTTTAAGATCAAATATTAGTTATATACTTGAATATATATTTAGTAATTATATTTTATAAGTTTGTTTAATATTTAATTAGCTCATTAACTATTAACAAATAATCAGAAATTAAAAAAGTGAAAAAAAATTTTTTTTGTAAAAAATTTTAATACATAAAAATTTAATATATGAAATTGAATAAATATGATAAGATTAATGTGCAAATACGATTAGTGTAAAAGTTAGCATATTACGGTAAAAAAACCAATCTGTAAATTTTTTAACCGTTTATTTTTTAACTCTCCCTACTATTAATCAAAAATAATTTATTGCATTTATTTCATAGTATATTATTTAATATGCATCACTTATGTGTTAAGCATTTTGATAACTATTTAAATTAGTAGTAACTTATTATCATCATTCTTTATAAGCTCTCAGAATTAGTGTAACTCATTTCTCTCAAATTAGTGTAATTCATTTTTTTTCAATTATCAAAATTAATTTCAGGAAAAAATAAATATGAGTTCGGTATTGTATCTGTAATGTGTTCATGTAAATTAGAGTGCAAAATTAAAATGAAAGAAATTTGCTTCTAAAATTCAAGCAAATATGCTATTATTGAATGATCGTGATACCGTGAAAAAAAAAAACAAAGAAAACGGATTTAAAAAAAGGAAAGATGAAAACGGAAAAAATTGAGAAAGAGAGAGAGAATTTAAAATTGAAAATAATGAAAAAGAAAACAGGAGGCTGAGGAGGCTTTTTATGGAACGAATAACAATGGACAAAAAATAAATTACTGATAGCTTGGCTGCCGTTTCGGTTGGCTTCTCTTTTTTTGCATTTTTTTGCCGGTTAAAACAAAATTTCCGGAAAATAAATCCATATTGGAAATATTCCAGAAATTTGCAACACTACCAGCATATTTGCCGAAATTATTTCGCTGACCGTTCAGATTCATCAGCTGTATGAGTTGCTTCTTCCAATTTATCTGTTGCAATCTTCAAACGTTCCTCCGCTCGTTCCAATTCTTCTTCCAAAAGTGTCATACGACGATTCAAGGCTGCTACCTCAGCCTCCGCCTACAAGTTATACTTTTCTCCTTTGCATCTTCGTCACATTCCTTCTTTCCTTCCTTCCCTCCTTCATTCTTTCCTTCCGGTTACTATCTTCTAACCGGAAGAATGAAACATAACAAAATATCCCTAATATCCTAAAAATCCTACAAAAAAACAAAAGGAAAAAAATAGAAGGCAATTATGTAAATTCTCTATAAATCCTATATAATAATTATCTAAGATTTGCAAATTTAACTTTGTAATACCTGTATTAATTTGATTATTTTAATTCTATTATTTATCGCAGGGCTTTTTTCTTTTGCATAATTTATAGGTAAAAATTTTCGAAAATTTAAAAAATATTGCCATAAATTAATTTAATTATATTAAATAAAATTAATTAATATTTTTCATCAATTTCATATTTTGAAAAAATTATAAATTATTGCGGCATAGAAAAATAAATTTTATTTTATTTTTCTCTTATCTTTAATTTTCGGTTCGTTTTTTTTAACAATTAAATTTGATAAGTAAGTAAGCTGTTTGATAGTAAAATCAACAACAGCATCTTCCTCTTATCACTTTGTCACTTTTTGACATTATTTACCGTTCAGCTTCATCAGCTGCTTTTGATGCTTCCTCTAATTTTTCTGTGGCACTTTTTAAACGATCCTCTGTTCGCTCTAAATCCTCCTCAACAAGCACAATCCGACGATTTAATGCTGCTACTTCAGCTTCAGCCTAAAATAAAAACAACATTTAATTTCTCTTTTAAAACAATCTCTCAATTAATATTTGAAAATGCTTTAGATTGATAGCATTATCTCCTTTTGTGAAACTTTTTTAAAATTTTAAAATTTCAATTTTTCAATTTTCAAATTTGTCAATATTAGCTTTTAAAATTAATTATTCATAGCCAAAAATTCAATCATTATTATTTTAACATTATAAATTAGTCTAATTTGAATTCTTTTAATCATAAAATTTTTCTTTTCCTTTCTAATATCCTATAAAATAAATTAAGAATGAACAATTTTATATAATAAAATTATCAAACGAGGGAAATATTATATAAAATATTATTGGTGGAAATTTTTACAAATGAAATTTATAAAACTGCAATTTTATAAAATGACAAAATTATTGAAGAATGAAGAATAGGTTAAGTCGAAATAATAATAGTAATAATAGAAGTAAGATTGTAAAAGTATGTACTCGAAAGAAAAGATGACCAACAACAATATTACTATCAACAATTTCATCGCAATTGTCATTAACAAATTCGCATTCCTCTGCACCTACCAACCATTTAACAATAACTATTACTATTACTAACATTTCTTCAATTGCAATTATCTATTCTAATCTTCAACATATCCCTATCATACGATAATTTTACCTATCAAACAACTTATTTCAAAATTTACAGAAATTTCGACGAAAAATTTTTATAAATTTCGTCAAATAATTTGCCTAAGATAAATTTATCAAATAATTGTCAAAGATAAATTCAAAATTTGTCAAATAATTTGTCGAAGATAAATTTATCTATTTATTACTTAAATAATTATCATTAATGATAAATGATAATTATTTAATGGTTGAATGAATGATGATCAAATATACCTGTGAATAATTTACAAGAAATAATTTAATTTAAAGTAACATATATTAGGTTATCATATTTAACTTTCAACAATTTCTCAATAATAAATAACAAATAATAAATAATAATAATGATAATAATAAATAACAATAATGATAAATAATAATAAAGAATAATAATACCTGTTGAAATAAAATCAATCTAAAGTTTATGATCAGATATATTTATTATTTTGTAATCTCCAAAATAACATAATTCTGATCTATTCTTCAACGAATATCCCTATCCCTCCGTCCTTTTTCTAAGATAATGCTTAAATCTGATCTTCAATCTTTTATTCAATATATTATTATGATTATTAATACTATCATTATTAACCATTCTATTTATCGTAATCGTTCTTTAATATAAATAAATCTTGAAAATGAACCCATTTGAATTTTTAATTTATAATTCCATAATTAATTACAATTTTACAATCTTTACTATCTTGGCAAAAAAGCAAAAAAAAGCTGATCTCATTTATTAATAAATCTCACTCTATCTCATTCATTCATTCATTCTATTCCATTCATTCATTCTATCCCGCTCATCCAATCATTCATTCATTCTATCCCATCCATTCATTCATTTCATCCATTATTTCATTCTATCCCATTCATTCATTCATTCGATCCATTTTTTTCATTCTATCCCAATTCATTCATTCTATCTCATTCATTTATTTATTATTTATTTTAATTTCTATTATATCATATTTAAACCGAATAATATTTCAAAAATATTTTCTCTTCTAATTTTTCTTGCTAATTTAAAATAAGTCTTCAAGATATTGTCGTTGGAAAATTCTAACATAAAATCTTCCATAAAATATTTTTTCTCTCTCTCTCCCTCTTTCCCTTTCTCTCTCTCTCTCTCTCATTTTTCTAAGTGAAAAATTTTTCGCCCTCGCCAATTACGCACTATTATTGATCTTCCTCAACATTTTACCAATCTTTTCATTATTCATTCAAAAATGCAACGCAGATATTTTCAATTATTCAACAAAGACAGGGAGAGACAAAAAAGGAGAGAGAGGGAAAGAGAGCGAGAGAGAGAGAGAGGAAAAGAAATGAACGTGGAAAATAATAAATTTCCCTTTTCATCGATAACACTTTCCCATCGCATACATACAACAATTTCAGTATACATTCCAATTGATCATATTTGAAATAGAATATCAATTTCATTTCAAATATTTTAATTATTAAGCGTTTCAAATATCCTATTCTATTTTAATTCCCTACCATTTCTTTCATATAAGTCGAAAGATTTTCTTTATTTTTTTAAATTTTAGTTTTGCAAAATCTAATATAATAATAAATATGATGAAAAAGATTAACATAAATTATTCTTTATAATAAATGTATAAAATTATTAAATAATTGGAATAGTTTAAATAAGTAATTAAATATAAAATATATTTGAATAAGATAGAATTATCACTTATCATATCTCCTAATTATCATTAATGATATCATTTAAAAAAATCAACCATTCATTTATCATTCGCCAAAAAATATAATTGAATTTTCGAAAAGAAAATTAAGCTTTAGCTTTCAAATTAATTAATTTAATTTTGAAATAATTTATTAATTGGGTTTTTTTAATTTTAAATTGATATATATGTAAATGAAATAGATTACATAAAAATTAAATAATTAATTGAATTTAATATAAGTAAAATGGAATGGATTAAATAAATTTAAACAAAATTGAAAATAAAAAGAACGAACACTATTTAATACTAAAATTATAGTTTATTCAAATTTTTTCAATAGATCAATTTTAAATTTAAAAAAAAGAAAGAAAACCTAATTAATAAATTATTTCAAATTAATACACACATACATCTTCACGTTTCTTTCGTTCCTCTTCCAGAAACCGTTTCACTTCATCTGCTTCATCTTTTGCTGCTTCCGCTTCTTCACGTGCTTGTCGCATCTTTTTCTTCAGTACATCAAGAAGTGACGTCTGTTGTGCTCCAGCTTTTTCCGGTTTTGACATTTTAATTTCGTTATTTTCTTCTTTCTTCTTTTGTCACTTCTTCTTTTTCCTTCTTCCTACCAGCTATAATTATTTCACATTATATTACAACAATCAATTTTTGTATATCAAAATTATACCCTTATTGTTGATTGATTGCAAATTTATGGGAAACGATAAAACGAAAATCAAAATGTAACAAATATATATTATTTAAATTTTTTTTTTAAATTTAAAAAAATTATAGTTTAAATTAAAAAACAAAAGAAATTACAATTTCAGCCAAAAAATAAAACATTTGTTCGTATTTATATGAAAAGTAAACGATATTATATAATATAGGAAAATTTGAAATTAATAACTTAAAAGAACTGAATATAATCAAAACACTTATAATTTATATCAATTAAGAATTATCATATTTATATGAAATTTTATTTGTTATAATAATTTTTCTCTTTTTTTTCATTTAATATTTTCAATAAAAGAAAACTCAATTTAATCAAAACTTATTTACTTAAAATTAAGCTTTTTACATTAAATTAAAATAAGAAATCATTAATGTTTAATCAATAATAATAATAATAATTACTATTAATATTGCATTGTTATGCAAATGTATTCAAATAATTGAATATAACTAATAATTTATCATCAAATAATACTGGAAGATACATATCATTTTGTTTTAAGTAAAACTTCAACATGAGAAAAAAAAAAGACCACATTTTATTTCATTTTCAAAATTAATTTAAAATTTCATAAAGCTTTTAATGTTAGCAATAATTTTAGTATATAGTTATGAGATGACAAAGGAAAGAAAACATCACATTTCATTTTCAAATTTAATTAAAATTTCACAACAATAAATTTTAGTATATAGTTATGAGATGATGGCAAAAAAAAGATAGTTATGATGATAAAAAATTTTGGTATATAGTTAATAATGATATATAGTTATGATGACAAAAAAAATTTTAGTATATACTTAATAATGATATATAGTTATGATGATAAAAAATTTTAGTATATAGTTATTAACAATTTATAGTTATGATTAAAAAATCTTAGTATATAGTTATAAAATGATGGCAAAAAAAAGATATAGTTATGATAAAAGATTTTAGCATATAATTATTAATGATATATAGTTATGATGGTAAAAAAAGATGATTGAAAAATTTAAAAAAAACGGGAATAGAAATGGATGGCACTTCAAAAAAAACATTGTAAATTGAAGTGAAGTGACAGATTCACAATTGGTAGCAAATATATTTATATATATATTTGTATGTATCCATCATTACAACAAAAATTTACAATTTTAGTCTTTCTTTATTTCTTTTATCTCTTCTTCCTCCTCTTCTATCACAAACATTTCTCCTTTTTTACTCTCTCTCTCTCTCTCTCTCCCTCTCACTTATCCTTTCTTCTTCTTCTCTCTAATATTTGAATAATTTAAACTCTTGCTAAATAAACTAGTTTAGCTTTAGGTTAGTTTACAATCTTATAAAATCTCAAATCTCAAAAAGAATATGAGTAAAATTTCTGAGTGGAAAATTCTTCGTTTTGTAAGCATTAATTTTATATGATATTTACAGTCGATTGGTTATAAAAAAAAATAAAGTAAAATTGAAGCATTTAATCGCAAACAACCATGTCTCTATCCAATCTTCTCCTTTGTGACAGTCAAAAAATACGACGAAAAGAAAAGTAGATAATGATGATAATGATGATGATGATAATGACAGCGAATAGCAATGACACGATAACAATGATAATGATTTTGCTCTCTCTCTCTCTCTCCTTTTCTCTTTCTTCCCCACCTCTCACTCTCTCCCTCTCTTCCTCTCTCTCTCTTTATATTATTATCCTTACTAATCTATCTATCTACTAGTCCAGTCCAAATTTTTTTAAAACGAAAGAGAGAGAGAGAAAGAGAGAGAGAGAGAGAGAGAGAGAGAGAAAGCAAAAATAAATGAGAGAAGAAAAATCAGACATAAAGTTCGCATTCCTTTTTCTTCTACTACAAAAGAAAAGAAAGAATGAACAAACCGACTGGCACTAAGAAGTAGTGAATAGAAAGAAAATTGGATAGATTTTGTTCATTTGGAAGTTTAGAAAAAGAAGAGAATTATTAATTTGAGAAAAAAAAAATTAAATGTTTAATTAAATAATTTAAATTTGTTAAAGAGAAAAAAAATATTTTAATAAATTTAAATTATTTAATTAAACATTTGATTCTTCTTTTTCTCCTTTAATAATTTAATTAAGAGAGAAAAGATTGTTTGTAAAAATTTAAATTTAAAATTTAATTTTTGTTATTTGAATGTTTTATGATAAAATTTATGCTATCCATTTTAATTCATTGTGAACATTTCTCAAAATATTATTATTATTATTTATTATTACTCATATTATCATTCTTTACGACTATTTATATCATTATTATTATTATTATTAATTATTATTATTATTATTTACTACTATTCATATTACTATTAATATTTACTACCATTCATTATTTGCATAAAAACAACATAAAAACAATCATAAAATAATTTCTGTACTATATATATATATATATATATATATGCTTGTTGATAGCAATAAACAGTAATCTGAATATATCCATTCATTTAAAACATTGAAATAACCTATAACCTTTTTCCTTCGGTATAATGCTTCCAGTATAATTAATCAATAAAAAAGAAACGTGAAATATGTTAAATACTTCAAAAAATAAAAATAAAAATTCAAAACAGCTCCACAGATATATATATACAATCATTTTACGTTCTCCGGATCCGGTATTTGATGGAAAATTTAATCTCACTAACAATTTAATTAACAAACAGAATAGCAAAGACAACTTATGACAATCTTATCTAATAGTAAAATTATTTTAGTTTAATAAAAATACTTTCATTATACTTTCATAAATATCAACATTATGATAATACTAAAAATGATAATAAGCGCATTACTCTATCATATCAATTCAAATAGATTATCAAAAGTAATAAATTTGAATATACAGAAAAAGAGTTTATAACAGTTTGATTTTAGAAAATAAGTTATTAGCAACTTGTCACATAACCTGAAAATGATAAATATATGATTTGTGATTATATGTGATTATATGATAATATATGATTTACATTAAAATGTCCTCTTTTTTTCTCTCTCAATTAAAACAATTAATTTTTAAATTAATTCAACAAATAAATTGCTAAGTAAGTTTTATTTTTCCTCACGTAATCATTAAATTAACACGTGAACGTAAACATGTACTCAATATATAAACGTGTATTCAATAATTATAGATAACATCAGGAAAAGCAATAAAAACGGAAATTTACCAACACTATAAACAACATTAATACCTTTCTTCCTTCTTCATCAATGAATGAATAAGAGTGAGAGAGAAAGAGAGAGAGAGAAAGAAAGAAAGAGATTAAGAAAGGAAGAAGAGATTAAAAAATATTAAATTTGTGAAATATTTCATTCATTCATTCAACTTCTTTATTCTATCTGATTTTTTTGTTTTATTCCAATCAATCAATAATCTATTGATTAACATCCAATTCATTGATCATTAAATTATGCAAAAAATATCCCATTTATTTTACACTGTTGTTTTTGCTCTAATTTTCATCAATAATTATTCGAAATTTTAAAGGAAATAAAATCTTATATTAGTTTATTTTTAACATTAAAAATTGAAATGAGAAAAATTATACATCAATTTTTTCTCATTCTCATAAAATATATTTAATCGATTGATTAATTATTCAACAAACAATCAATGAATCATATATTTATTATATATGTTATTATACGTATTAACATTATACATATTATCACTATACATATTATTATCATCATACATATTATACATATATATATATATATATATATATATGGAATATAATTCAAAATTATCGAAAATTATATTTTAAAATTATTTTCATTATTACTATAATAATATGATATTCTCTATCATATCTTTATTACATAAAATAAAGAATTTAAAAAGAGAGCTGTAAAAAGGAAACTATACGATTTCATTTCTCTCTTTTTCTATCGATTAAAGAAAAGATAAAAAGGAAAAAAAGACAAAAAAGAAGAGAGAGAAAGAGAGTGCAAAAGAATGGAATAATATAAAATAAAAAAATGGAAGATAATAGAAAAAATTGTGAATAGAAAAATAATAGCAGGAAAGAAAAAGAAATGTTAATTTATGATGCAGAGAATTAATGGATTAGAATAGAATAGGAATAGGATAGAATGAATATGATAATTTGATGAGTGAAATAATCCGATTGATAATGAATGCACATGTAATTGTTATCAATTTATAACAATCAATACCGAATATTATCACTATTGATGGAATCGTTGATAAATCAAAAATTGGTAATTTTATAATTATTCAAGTTCATAATTTCGTTACAATAGCAATTAAACAGTTGCAGCAATATATTCTTATTATTACCATTATGATTATTATCAGTTGTAGTAATAATGAGACTAATAAAAATGGAAATGATTGTAATGATAATAATTAGCAAATGAAATTGTAATTGATAAAAAAACAAAAGATGAATTCATTTATTCGATCAATTCACATTTCATTACCAAATTATATTATTTCATTCTTACTAATTCTTTCTTTATTCATTAATTAATCTATTAAATGTAACAAAATTAAATTGTAACAAAAAACAAAAACAAAATCAGAAAGATAATAAAAGAATGTTACAATGATAATTTGAATTTTAACAGTAATTATTTTAAATTCAAGGTAAATAAAGCTAATTAATTAATTTACGAAAAAGAAAAGTTTCAAAATCGGAAACAAAATTTAGATTCTAAATAGAATTTAAAATTTTCAAAATTAATTAGGCAAAAAAAGAAAAAGTCAATTTCAAAAAAAAAGGCATTTTACGAGGACTAAGGTTGAAATGAATGATTTTGTTAAAATGAAAGATATTTAAAGAAAGGGAAGATAAAGAGAG